TGAAATTTTGTTTAGTCCTTTGCAAGAGCTCTGATTTCTTTTCTCCAATGGAGAAGCCAATTACTTCTGCTCTTGTCTTTATCTTGTCTGGCCCAGTGAAGAAATACTAAGGCAGTTCCATCCTACCGCAAAAGTGAGGTACAGACCAGCAACTAGGTGTGTCAGCAGTTGACTGTGCGTACGTGCGTGTATGTGTGTCTGACTGTGTGTACAATCCATGCCAAGTTCTCTCTCAGCTTGGAGGCTTCCAGTTCAAAGCACAGTCCTTTCTGCACAGCTGATGGGTACTATATGAAGACGAGAGGAAGCTGAACTGTGGCATCCAAGTTAGAGCGGGCTTCTTTGCTCCACAGTACGGTAGATCATCTCAGAGGCAAGCGCAGCAGACCTTGTCTTATGAGATGTTGAGCATCACTGAACCCCTATGGCAACAGAGGTGGCTTAATTCCTCCTGGGTCCTGACTGAGAAAGGATTTACACTGGATGACTAGCCTCTTGTTTGGGACTGAACAGGAGGGCAGATCTGCACAGGGTACCTTCTGCTACATCAGGAGTGCAGCTAGTATATTAAATGAACGGGAAGCCTGTGGAGGAGACAGCTTCTGGCTGGCTGACCCTGGCATCGCCCACCTTGCAGCCGAAGTGCTGTGCAGGCGGCTCATCTAGAGCCTGGGGACTCTGAGAAACAAGACCTGAAGCACAGCCAGACTTGGAAGCATTGGGCTCAGATAAGTTGTTCCTTAATTAGCAGCTGCACCTGATTTTAATTCAATGGAATTTTAGCCAAACACGTTTTTCCAAGTTTTGCAGGCTGAGTGTTTGTTCAGAGACAGATCTTTGAATTCAGTCTGTAATGGTTTTGGTGCTTTTGTTTCTTGGGCAAAAGTGTTCAGAGTAACTGTGTGTTATTGCTTTGGGTTGTTTTAAATAGCTTTTTTCTTTCTTCTCTGATTTGAATGTAGAAAAGGAGAAACAGAGTGTTCTCTTCCCTTCTCTTAATCTTTGCATGAATTGAGACGTATTCCAGATCTCTCTGCTGCCTGGAATGAGTGCCCGAGGAGTTTTGGGCATGCTGATTTGGAAAGGGAGGGTGCCTGTGTGCTGGCCAAGAAGGTCCATTGCCTTTAGCTCTGAAAAAGGAGACAAGTCTAACTGGAATGTTCTCCAGTCCTTTTCTTTAGAACTTCTTTACTACCACAAATTCCCCAATTTTTCATTTTATTATTCTAAAATTCCTTGCTTTTATTTTAAAGTCATGTTTTTCATTGTACCTTAATGCATTACCACCAAACATTGATTGGTGCTTTTTTTTTTCTTGTCTACTCTCCCTCCCTTCCTGCTTCTGCACCTTTAGTCCCGCACTAGCACTTCAAGAAAATCAGGTCCAATGAAATGCATCCAAAATGACAAAATTGCAGCTTTGATAGCGATGCCCAAACAGCCCAACTAGGCTTCCCACTCACAGGCAGGGATGCTTGTGTGGGGGGACAAGAAGTTAAAGGCACTAGATGATGGGGCAGAAGATTTTTTTGAAAGGTTCTTGAACTACTTGTCCCACCTAGCACCTTCACTTCTCCTAGCACCTTTTCCTTTACAAGCTGTGAAATGCTGCTGCTTCTTGTCGTTTCTTCTTTTGGTACCTCCATGTGATGCCCACTTACTCTGTGAAAGTGGCTGCTTGCTGAGTAAGTAGCTCAGGGAGAGCTTGTCCTTCTGGGAGGCTCAGAGGGTCAGTTAGGGAACTTGAGTATGTGAGAGGTGGGATCTGAGCTGGCTTCTTGCAAACCTTTTGCCCTGCATGCCCTGTGCAGACCTCTGCCAGTTCCCTGGGAAGGCAGAGCTGCCGAAGAGCCGGCTGGTGGTTGGCAGGACTGTGGTGGAAGGATCAGGAGAGGAGTCACAGCCTCCCGAGGCATGATGTCGCTGAAAGCCATGGGGTGGGTAGTGTGGTGTAGCATTGGTACTCCGTGGGAGTTCTCTGAAAGCAGTTTCATAGCTTCTGTGGAAAAATAGTGGTACTTCTGTTAACTTCTTATCACCTTCTGCTTAGAAGGACTCAAGCACTGTCGTCTTCCACCTCTGGTGTCTTTAACACAAAAGCAGATGAGGCATGAAAGGAAACTTTGAGCAGAAGCACTGTGGCGAGTCTGGCACCAGTCCTGGGTGGGCAGGAGGATGAGGAAATGCGGTGGGATACTTCCCATGCTGTTTCCCCAGTGCCTGACTGGGTACTGGGCCTCTGCAGAGAGCCAGGGCATGTGTTACGGACCCTCCCTCCCTGGACTGGGCCAGAGGAGGAGGTGGCTTTCCTACAAAACAGCCTTCTTTTTTATTGTAGGGGCTGATTCCTCCCGCTGCCCCCATCTCCCCCTTAAATGCCATGTGATGCAGGGTTTCCCAGCACTGTTCACTGCCTGTGTGGTCTATGCATATATTAGCACAAACACTGTTAAATGCCTTTTGTCAAGATGTGTCCTCACCATCAATGTGTGCGTGTATGCGTGTGTGTCAATTTTGACTGCTTTTCTTGGATCTGGAGTTCTATTTTATTGCAGTGAAGACACTTTGTTATATAATGTTTATATATTTTAAGATTTGTGCCAAGAGAGGATGTATATTTAATAAAAAATTATAATTGACTTTGCAGGCTCTCTGAGGGTGTCTCCTACTGTACGTCGCTCATAAGAGAGAGGGGCCTGGCACATCTGGGTGGATTTATTGAGGGACTAAACATGGGGGTGTCTGGGAGGGGAGGGTTGTGGCTGGGGGTACCTCTTGTGGGGCTGACCGTGTCCTCAACCACACAAGTCTCCTGCGCATGGAGCCCCTTCCAAAGCGCACGGGTTGACACAGAGGACTTCGTGTGGAAGTTGGGAGAAGCTTGAAGGAAGGAAAGCAACCCTGGAGATGGTTCACAACCTGTGGAGGCCTCTGCTGTCCCCGTCCCCAGTGCCGCAGTCTGGGACGGGGACGGGTGTGCAATGGCAGCAGGTGGCACTGTCGGCTTAGGCATGGCCCGGCTGCTTCCCCGAAGTTGGGGACCCCCGGCTGCTGCTCAGCCCTGCTCAGCTCTTGGGGGTTTCGGTGCTTTCAGCTGCATTTCGGGTCCAGTGTGGATGTGACACTGCACTGCCTTGCAAGGTAGGAAGGTCTCAGCACTGAGGGCAGGTCCAGCCTTCCCGGAGAAACCTCCCTGTAGCCCGCTGCTGCTCTCTGCAAGGCAGGGCAGAGCTGATGTCCCGGTTGTACTCCAAGAGAAACTGAGACCCAGAGGCTGAGACTTGCACCAAACCTTGCAGGAAGCCTGTGGCAGAGCTGCAGAATGGTCCCTGTCCACCTTCCCTGCACCAGCTGCCTCTCAACCCTGCCAGTTGAGGGTAGCATCCCTACCTTTGGTTTTCTGGCTCCCTGCATGCAGGGGAGCATCCAGCCGGGTTGGTTTGAGCTGTCAGCCACAGAGAGCTGCGATTAGAACTTTCCCACTGCTCCAAGCAGGAACAGCTCTGCAGGATGCAGACGGCAAGGGGATCTCATTTTGGATGGAAGTGGGGTGGGAAGGAACGGCTCACTGCTTCCCTCCTTCTCAGGGCATGAAGGGAAGACCTCCAGGAGCTGCCTCCAGCCCTCGGGTTCTTGCCAAGCATGGCTCAGCGGGAGCCGAAGGCAAGTGTGCTCCAGGGGAGCAGGGGCAATGCGAGCTGGGTCACAGCAGGGACTCCTGCTGCCAGTCCGAATCCCAGTGCCGGCGGAACCTCTGCAGCAAAAGAACCTCTCGGTCCCAGCTGCTCCCCTCTCCGCTAAGAGCCCGAGTGTGGCCCTTTGCAAGACCCCAGCCTGTACCCCGTTCTAAATAAAGCAAAGATCCAAAGAGTAAAAATAATTCTGGGGAGAAGAGGAAGATGGGGGGGCTCTTTCATTTTATTTGATGTGGCCCAATTTCAGTGCCTGTGGATCTGTCTCCTGCTCTTGGCTAGTCTATCAGTCATTGTCCCTGCCTGAGAGGGTCACGTCTGGGCAGATCTCAGGGGAGGAACTGTCTGCATGTCTGAATGCAGCACAACCTCAGGCCCTAGCAACCGTCCTCCTGCCGCGAAGGCTTCCCTGCCAGCTCAGCCCCCGGCTGCTTCCTCCACATGCTTAAGGAAAATTAGATAAATGAGCCATCAAGACAGTCGGACTAGCTTTTAATGGGACGGCGCAGGCTGGAACAAGTCCCTTCTGCATCCCGGCCCAGGGGAATCGCTTCTTCCTTGCACCTTTCCACCCGTGACTTGGCGACAGTGCTGCTGGAGCCAAATTCTTCCTGCCCTGTGCTGGTTAATGGTGCTGCTTTGGGCTCTGGTTTCCCCAGCTGTTTGCAAAAGGGAAATTTCCCCATAATTTTTTTTTGCAAAAGGGATTTTACTGTGTCTGCAGCTTGGGTACTCAGGAACCAGGCAGAGGAGGGCTGTCCGGATTACCCCTGTTGACACCAGGCAAAAGGGCTGCCTTCTCATCTCAGCCCTTAGCAAGAGGGAATTAAGACCATTACAAGGCTATCAAATAGGATCAGAGTCCCTCTCCCTTTCTCTGAGCAGCCCAGACCTGCTAATCCTTTTTCATGCAGCTGGACCAGCACCCACCGTGCAGTGGGGAAGAGCTCAGCTGAGATGGACAAGGGGCCGTCTACCCCATTCCCCCCCCCCCGCAGCCCCTGTTGGGCTGAGCAGCACGTTATCAGCCCGGGTGCGATCCTAGTGCCGAATGAAGGGCAAGGAACAGGCACCGAGTCGGGCTGTGATGGGGTGAACGTGAGGTCTCCTCCTCAAGTGTGATGGGGATGGGCTGTAGGGTTTGTTCGAGCACTCGGCTTCTTCCTCTTGCTGCAATAACACGGACAGGGGCTTTGCCGCTTGCCCGCCTGCCCAAAGGCAGCTGGAACCCCTGCCCTGCTCAAGGGGCTTTGGGGCTGCAAAGTGTAAAGCAGCAGCTTTTGGAGTGGCGAACAGACTCTGGGTTACTTATTTATTTCTAAAACAGCCAACAGCCGAGGCTGCTGGGCCTGAGGATTTCACGCAAAGCAGAGGGATGACCCCCAAGGAGCCCTGACCCAGCTGGCTAGAGCAGCAACCCTACAAAAATACACTCACCCTCCACCGGTGGAGGCAAACGCTAGGCAGAGCAAACCCCAAAGTCTGTGCTGGTAACCCAAGCTGCTGCTCCAACCTGGCCGTAGGGTCTCTACCACGCAAGGGCGATCCCCACCGCGTCCTCTGCCCAGCACCTATCACCCAGGGCTGGCAGGAGCCGCTGCCCTCCAGGAAGACACAGCGGCAAAGCGTCCCCGTGTCGGGTCAGAGCAGGCAGCAGCAAACCCAGCTGCGGGGCTTTGGTTCCTCCATCACCGTGCAGGATCAGGAAAGGGGAAGAGGGGCTGGAGGGATGCAGCCCGGAGCGGCAGCGGGGCGAGAGCAGGCACAGTGGTGATCGGCGGCAGGAGCAGGCGATGCCCACGCTGGCCCACATGCATAAAACCCGTCGTGCCGAGAGCTGGTGGCAGACGTATCCCCATGTGCGTGTCCACGTGTGCCGCCAGCACGTCCGAAGGGGGGGAAACCGGCCAAGGCAGGAGCAAGGGGACCAGCAGCCGAGCACCGACTGCGCCCCGAGGCACGTCCCAGTTCCCTCCAGTCAGGAGGCTGCCAGGTACTGGTGGAAGTAGAGGCCGAAGAGGCTGGTGACGACCTGGCAGGCGGCCACCCACCAGGTGAGGAAGGCGAAGAGTCCGCGCAAGAAGAGGGGGGTGAAGATGCCACCCAAAACGCCCGTGATCTGCTCCACTGCGGCACGCACGTCCTCCCTGTCCTCGCCGCCGGGATGCGGCGATGCTGCAGTTGCTGCCAGGGGGAGGGGAGGGGGCTCCGGGTACAGCCCCCATGAGTGGTGCCCTGCGTGACAGAGGGGACAGGTCTGCGGGGGTCGGTCCCCACGCTGCAGGCCCATCCCCGTGCTAGACATGCTGGTGGCTGAGTCCCAGCACGCTCGCTGCATGCGTTACGCTCATGCCAACCGCAAACCACGCCTTGAGAGCCTGGGGACGCTTTGGATGCTGATGGCTCGATGACGACTTGCGGGTCTCATCCTGCCCCTCCTGAGCCCCCCCGTGTTCCCCGCATTCCCCCTGCCGCCTCCTTACCCAGCGTCTTGAGGAGCAGCGTGCAGTGGAGGGTGAGGATGATGGGTCCCAGGTACTGCAGGCTGACCACGGAGACGTAGCAGTAAATCCTCGCGATCTGTGGGCAGCAGGGATCAGCAGGAGGCTGGCAGTCGTACCCGGACCCCTGCTCCCATCCCAGCTCCCACATCCAGACCTTGCGCTGGATCTCCAGGACAGCGATGCGCCCGGCTTCCTTCCTCATCTGCTCCACCCAGCGCTCGGCCAGGCCCAGGTACGCCTGGAGGTGATGGCGGGTGACGGCCAGGCGCAACAGGCAGAGGCTGACGATGGTCCAGAGGCGCGCGGTGTTGTAGGCAGAGTCCGACATGCTGGGGCAAGAGGAGGGAGCTGTCAGGGAGATCTCAGGGTCCAGAAACCCCCTGTGTCCCAGAAAGGGTGTCTGATGGGAGAGGTAGCAGCAGTGGGGAGGATGGGGGGGGGCTACTAGTGTTGGAGGAGGTAGACTGGTGCACCCGTGCCTCAGTTTCCCTTGGAGCAAGGATGCCAGGACACAGTCAGACACTTACAGCTGCACCGTCTGCTTGCCCATGGGTGCGTGGAGCAGGAATTCCCGCGAGATGGGCTTGATCCACATCACCACCACGAGGACAGGTGCCAGGAAACTCATGTGGAGCAGGACCCTGCAGCAGAGCCGTCACGAGACCCCCATACAGCGTGGTACCCCCTGTCCCTCCATCCCTCAGTGGGCAGGGACCGGTCCTCACCCACACCCCCAACACCCTTCTCCCACCACCAAACCTCCTCGCTGCCCTGCAGAGCAGGGAGGGGGGGATCCCAGCCCCCAAAATGCCAGCACCAACCCCCTCGCCTCCTTTCCCTCCCGCAGATTTCACCCAACTGGGTCAGGGGCTTGTCGGCCGCCATCCGGAGAGCGTCGAGGTGCGTCTGGGCCAGGCGTAGCCCCGGGAAGGTCAGGCAGGCACCCAAGAAGGAGCACAGGGCCACCAGCCCCAGCTTGAAGGCCAGCTTGGCGAGGGGCAACCTGCGGAGAAAGAAGGTAGCGTGGGGGGGAACGGGTCGGCCCCGTCCCCGGTGAGCCCCTGAGGCTTTCCCGCCCCAAACCTCCACAAAGCCTCCCGAAAACCCCATTTTCCTCCCTGCCCGGTCATCAACTCACGTCCACTCCCAGCCCCGCTGCTTCAGGATGCTCTCCAGGTTGCTGCTGACACCGGCCAGCCCTGCGGGGAGCGAACCCCCCCATAAGCGGGGTGCCCGCAGCCCCCAAGGACCACCTGCCCGCCCACCTCTCCCCGTCACCCCTCACCCACCGGGCTCAAGGCCGAACTCCAGGTAGTCCTCACGGATGACCAGGGCCACCATGGCGAGGAGGAGGAAGAAGAAGGCGAAGGTGAGGCAGACAGAGCGCTCACCCCCCTCCTCCGAGCGGAAGTAATGGCGCATCACCATGAAGAAGACCTTGCTGCGGGTGAGGGGTGGCCGTCAAGGAAACCGGGGGCTTCGGGACACCCCCCCCAATGCCAGTGGGACCCCCCTGCTCATTAGCATGTTGTAAAGCATCTGCATCGTTAGGCCGCTGCCACGTTCTCTGCAGGGAAAGCTCTCATTAGGCACCTTTACAGCTCATCAGTGAGTGGTTTATAAATCCAGAAATTTAAGTTTTCCACCTCAACTGGCTTTTAATGGGGAAAAAACAAGGACGGTGGGTTCCCTCTCCTGCCCACTGGCAGCCTGAACCCGGCGGTCGGCAGCAATCGCACCCCAAAAGTCGGCAGAAGGATACACGGAGAAGATGACCGTCAGCAGGCACCAGAGCACCCCGATGTTCGTCTCCTTCTGGGGGTCCGCCAGGCAGTAGTAGCCCTCGGTGAAGAGGTACACGGCAGTGGAGTAGACGGCAAAATCCACGAACCACTGGTACTCCAGGAAATAGCGCAGCACTGGTGTGACAGAGGGACGTGTCACCGTGCTGTGGGGACCTACTGGGGGTCCCGGGTCCAGGGCAATGCCGGGTCCTGCGTGCAGAGGGAGCTGGGGGTGCACGGGGGGGATTACCGAGAGCATCCACGGCAGTGATGGGGCTGGTGTCCAGGCGGAGGTCGATGTCCCGGGGCACAGAGAGGGGCTTGTCATCCGTCATGCCGTTCATCCTCCTGCAAGGCAAACGTGGGCTCGAGACGGCAGGCAACGAGCTGGCTTGTCCCTTGCGTCCCACGGTGCCGAAAGCCCCTCGCGTGGCGGCACGTCCCCAGCTTGGGGCTCCTCGTCACCAGCACCGGCCCGGAGCCCAGTGGAATCCCGCAGCATACGGGGATGACTTCCATTATCACCAAACCAAAATATTTATCGTTTTAAGTCCCTCCTGCCTGCCGAAGCCGCAGGCACGAGCTGAGCTGACCTGTCCCGCTTGGCCTTGGGACGCTGCTTGCCTGCCAGGGCGCAGAGCTCCTCATCCGAGGGATGCTTGTAGCGGTGCAGGCTGGAAAGGAGCAGTCGGGTATCAGTGGTGCCGGGTGTCCCCGAGTCCCCCCCCCCAGCTCCGGGGACGAGCAGGGAGGGACAGACCACGTACCTGCCATTGCAGAGCAGCCAGCGAGCGAAGGAGCAATGCGGGGCCATCTTCTGCATGACGCTGGCTGCCAGAAGGCTCACCACCACCTGCACCCCCATCACCGCCTGCACCGGGGACACCCTCAGGGAGTGACCCCGGCACCTGAACCCCCCAAAGCCGAGGTGGGGGGAGCGGGAGACCCCCCCCCGCCTCCACCAGCCTGCAACACCGGGGCTGTCTGCTTCTCCCAGCCCCTGTCCCTGCCATGGGACAGCCCGGGCATGCACCCCACGGGCGTGCAACCCACTGGGACACGCTGGGCATGCACCCCCCCCCGGGTAGGCACCCC